ATCCTGTGCCCAGGTCACAGAACATGAGAACCACTTAGCGATACCCCGACATCCACACTTCATGGTATGGGATAAATCGCCTATATACTGCTGTGTTTCCTAAAGTACTTAAGGAGCTTTAAGACACAAATGCCTGGTGGTCAGAAAGCCCATGAGAAATACACGTCTCCTATAAACAAAATCATCAGAGGAGGCAGCCTGCCTCCAAACCGCAGCCTATCTTGAGAAGCAAGGCTCACGAAGCCCGTGGAAAAGGCGGACACGAGGAGGAAGGTATGAGGCTCTGACTCCTGCACCTGGTGGGGCAGGGGGTGAGGGTGGGGGCGCTGCTACTAGTGGCATAGGCTTTATGGATGTGACAGGAGGTCACCGGAGCTAAACAGGAGGCAAAAACAAAAAACAAGAAAAGAGCAAAATGAGGAAGCAAAGAACATGGAGAGGGACATTGCTGGACAAACTCAGGGCACGCTCTGGACGGCAAGAGTTCTTCACCGTGAAACACACTCAAGGGTGAGAATATAAATGCTTTACGTAGGTCTTGGAATCCTGAGGATCAAACCTTAAAATTCTAAACATTCTGTACAGGAGTTGAGGATTGTATGCTTTTCCATCACTGCTCTCCTCACTGGGGTCCGGAAGTGCCACAAACTTTTCCTTTCACATAGTAAATCTAGTTTTACAAATAAGAAAGAAGTAGTATATTTACAGAGAATAGCATTAACAGACGGCTCAGAGTGATTATTAGATGATGCAGGGGCTGGCAGACAACAGACTTTACGAGTTCTACTATCTATATTGTCAAGTTAAATTATCACTAACAGGGGCCTGCCCGGTGGTGTAGTGGTTAAGTTCTCGCCCTCTGCTTTGGTGGTCTGGATTTCACGGGTTTGGACCCCTAGTGTGGACCTACACGCTGCTTGTCAAGCTATGATGTGGCGGCGTTCCACATACAAAATAGAAGAAGACTGGCACAGATGTTAGCTCAGAGACAATCTTCCTCACCAAAAAAAAAAATATTTTTCGCCCTCCAATTGGCTCAACTGAATAAATCAACAAAAACAATCACAGAATCATGGTGTTCCAAGTGATCTTTGGCATTACCTGGTTCAACTCCCTACTGTTAAAGAAGAAGAAAGTAAACCTCAGAGAGGAAAAGTGACTTAGAAAAAGCCACACAGAACATTTCACACAGTCTTCTCTAAAAGGCCATGAATGTCAAACAGGCTGCGTTACAGAAAGGGCACTTGGGGTCAGAGCTCCCTGGTTTCCTGCCCGTAGCGGAAACCTGTCCTGTTTTTTAGGATGGAAAGGAAGTAAGTGATGGGAGAGAAGCAGGGGTCTCTCTGTAAGCCAGACCTGTTTGCACAGAAATCTGTCTGGTGGCCCAGCGCAGGAACGACGGCCGTCTGTGGTCTAGCTGCCGGGTTGTTTCCGAAGCAGAGCTTACAGCGGTTAAACGTGATCTGAACAAATGATGAGTCAGTCAGGGGCATTCCCTAGACAAGTCCATTCTCCCACAGGCTCTGGGCGGTGGAGGCAAGGCTTGGAGAGGAGGCGGGCAGAGGGGCACCCACCCTTTCTGTCTAAGTGCAGGTGAGAGGACACAGTGCTTGAGCCGAATGGGTTTCCTTTTAAAGCCACAGCAAGAACAGGGCAGTTATCAGATCGAGTTTGTCAAAATGGACAATCCAGGTGGCTCAGATAAAAAGTAAAGAACCCAGACCTGCCGCATTTCAACTTAGAGTCTACTCGCTTTCTACTGAGGGTGGGGTGGAGTTTCTCCCCCAGGCAGCATGGCGGAGGCCTGGATTAGAGTGCAGGCTCCCCGGGTCCCCTCACCAGGTTACATAACCTCTCTGATTCGCCCATCTGACTCGCAAAGGGAAGGAAGAATTCCCACCCACCTCCTTCCTAAACAGGTAGAGGGCATTTTTAGGACCTGAAATCCACTCAGTCAACATTCCTGAGAACACACCAGGTCCCCAGCAAGGTGTGAGGTGCCGGAGAGATGAGAGACGCACTTAACAATGTCCTTGTCCTGGAGACACTCATACCATGTGTATGACAAGGGGCTGTGGCCCATTCACAACTCATGTGACTGCAATATCACACGGGCTGCCTTAGCGGTATGGACAAGAAGGCTGTGGGAAAATGAAAGAGGGAGCGACTCATTACGCCTGGCAGGTACTGTTATGCTAGGATGTTATTTTGATTGTAACTTAAAAAAAAAGAAAAGAAAAGAGAAAACGAGCACAGTGCTGTGGAAGATTGTGTGGATAAGCATAAATCAATGACGAAATACCTCCAGTATCTCTAAGCTGTAGAAACTACTATAAGCACGTGAAAACACTCTGCTCGCCTGTTTAGAATAATTGTTGTCGTTTTTACAACAAGCAACAGTGCTAGCTAGCAAGTTTTATGAGCAATGCCAAATTCTATCAGGGAAAGTAAGTTGGATGCTGTTGCGAATGGCTGGATAGGATGAAACAGCCACCTAGAGTCTTTCATTAAAAACAAAAAAAAATCAATCATTAGAAATAAGCTACATTCTTGATTATCCACAAGAGATGGGGCTGGAATAGAGAACTAATCCACAGATCAGGAGAAAAGCTATTATCCGATTAATTCAACATTCTTCTCTGTGCCCCAGCTCCAACCAAATCTTTTGCTATGGTGAACCAAAAAATGACCTGTTTGAGTTGTTGGCTAATTCCATTTATGGGAAAAATGCAGATGGGGGGACTAAAAAAAATTGCAGGTATAAAAATAAACCATAAATTCTAAAATCAAACTTTGGATTGCTTATATGGTTTGGGCTATACTTGTTTGCCTTGCTAAACTGGGTAACTTTTCTTACTGCTCTACCGTTATTACACAAGGCTGGAACTGGAAAGAAGCGTAGAGATCAGCTAGCCCAACTTATTCACTTTATAGATAAGGAAAAAGACGACACAGGCTTGTCTCCCCATGATCACATCTGGCCTTTTAGCGTTTCCGATAATAATAGTCATATCTGAAGCAAGCATCCTAGAAGGTAAAGCTGAAAGCGACCTTTTAAAACACCCGTCTTTAAAAGGCAGAAGTATAAAAGGAATGAAATGATGCTACGTACACACATCACGGCAGCTGCAGTCCCTCTGTACTGATGCATTGATAGACTGTGCTGGCTCAGGACGTGGTCCCCCCATCAAGTCAATAATGCCACAATCTGAACAAACTTAGGCAATTTGCCTTCATGAAATAGCTACCCCAGACAAAAACAGAACTGTCATTCCACCAGACTGCCAAATGCACTAGACCAGGATTCCAGAATTAGTCAGAAATGAAACACTCTCAAGTCCAATGTGTCTGTCGGTCTAGGAATGAAAACAGCGCTACGTTCTCCAATGCCACATTCCAGAGGAGGGAGCAAGCAGCGAGAAGGGGCGACAAGGAACCTGCCACACTGGATTTCGCTCCGGGCACACACAGTCATACCAGGGTAGGCATGTGGACTCTAATCCCTTCTTAGTGGAAAACACACATTTTCAAAATGAATCCCCCATCTAGAACGAATTACCGTAATAGCCACAGCCGGAGCGAGTCCGCTGATGAGAAACGCAGATCCTGCCACCTGCTTAGAGATGCCTCGGACCAGGACACTGCCGGGGTCTTTAAAGGCTGGCCTTTTCGGGTAGGGCATCTGCCCTTCCAAATCGCCTTTAAATCCCAGGAAAAGAGAGAAGCCGCGTCCCTTAGTCTTTGCACTATGCTGCTCTTCCTGTATCCATTTCTGCTGAACACAGCCTGGGTCTCTTTTCAAAGAGGAAAAATAAAAAACAAGGGGAGAATGGCACCACTGCAGATCCCAAGAGAAGTAAGCACGAAACTACAGCAACGTCAAACAGTGTCTTCAGCAACTAGGAAAATTCCCACATGCGATCTGGTGTCAGCCCAATGCAGACTGGGGAGCGCTGTGCCCGGAAACATAGGAAGCCGGGCATCTCTGCAGCCTGTGTCTCTGCCAGCTCCCCCTACGCGCTGAAATTCGGCAGCGAAGAAGTTATGGTGCCCAGCCTCTGTATGCAAGACAGACAGACCACGCGCCCACACTCCGCAGATCCGCCAAGTGGCTGGGACATCAAGGCGGCAGAGCGATCAGAAGGCACTGGAGGAGCGGGGCATGGAGGGGCCACATTGTTTGAGCCCTCGGCTTTTGGTGCATTGTCACGGTCCGCGAATGTAGGGGTAGGAGGAAGCGCCCCTCCAGCCAAAAATGGACTGGCCGCGTTTTTCCCAGCGGCTCCCCCCGGCCTGTGTGCAGGTCGCAATACGGTAGGCGACATGAGGGGCTGCTCCCGCTAAAACTCAGGTGGCAGGCCAGGCTGGGCGGCGCAGCCGGCCGGGGACAGGGAGCCGCTGGAGGAGCACCCACACCGCGCATCCTCCCCGCCTGCCACCACCCAGGGGAGCGAGGGCCGGACCTGCCACGCGCACCCTGAGCGAGCACCGGCGAGCTCGTGCGGGGGCTGTGGGTGCTCGCTCGGCTAACCGTGGGCATTGCATGGGACACAATTGCCTAAAAGGGAGCCCGAGGCAAAGCCAAATCCAGAGCTTTGGTTCGCAAGGGGTGGGTGTGGGCTGCGAAGGGAGATTACGTAGGTCTCTCCGCCCCCTCCCCTGACACCACTTCGCCACCAGGAGGGCGCCGGGGGGCGGGGGAGGCGCCGCGAACCCGCTTGGGGGCTTCTTTGTTTCTCTCATGCCCCGCAGGAGGGCCCGGTGTGCCTGCCGTACCCGAGCCGGGGTCGCCACCCGGGGACGCCTACCCAGCCCGGGCAGCGGCGCGCCCCAGGCTGACAATTGAACCTCGCGGGAGAAGCGAGAGGGTGGGGAGGAGGGTGTATCCCGGGCCCTGCGGAGGGAGGGCGCTGCCGGGGCCTCGGGAGCCGCGAGGAAGCCGCCCAGAGAAGGGCGGGGGAAGGGGCGGCAGGCAGAGTCCCCGCTCGGCGCCCGCTTACCTTGGCAGCCCCGGCCTGGGCACAGATCATGCTCCCGTCAGCGCGCAGGTTAGAGCCGGGGGGCGCACGTGCCCTGCATGGCGCGCCGGGCGCCGGGGACCTGCCGGGGGACCGGGGCGCCCACCTGCTCTCGCCGCGCTCCGGGTGCTCCGGGCGAGCGGCCGGCCACGGCCACGGCCACAGCAGAGGGGCTTGCGTGTCTGGGTGAGGGCGTGCGCAGGAGAGGGCCGGCTCGGTCAGAGACGCACGGTATTCCGGCTCCCACAACGGCGCCTGATGCGCGGTAACGCAGCACACTTCATCGCTTTATCCTCCCGCCCGCATCCCCTCCCTCCCTGCCTGCTCCTCTATGGGTACCAGACTCCAGAACCAACCACAAGCCAGGCTTGCTCTCATTAGCGCTGCCCCGCCCTGCAGCCTCCACGCACCCCCCCCCGCTCCCCGGCGCCGTAAATATATATTGATTCTTGTTACCGCCGGCCCCGTCCTTCCAACACCCAGCTCGCGCACTGGGCATATCCAGCACCCGCGCCGGCCCATCGGCCCTTTTGTGTTTGTGCAAACAGCGTGTTCAGAAAGGATGTGGTACAGACACCCCAGCAGGTACCCTAGGACAGGTGTTCTTGGCCTCTGTCTTACACACTTTCTCCACCTCCCTTACATACAGTTATAAACACAGACACATGTCCAGGCACCGTCCTGTATTTGCACCGTGAACACACAAAACCACAGCGTAATTACAAACGCAAAGGACGAAAATCCCCCCAGAAAATCTATTCTTGGGCAAAACTAGCTTTCAGCCAGGTTTTACATTAAACTGCGCACAGTGTCAGAATGCCAGAACTGGAAGGAAGCAAAGGCTAAACCCCTTCTTGTACAGCCAACGGAGATGCAAAGAGATCTGAAATGTTGGTCACTCCTCGTTGCTGGCTGCCGCACGTATGTAAATCTGTGTGCATTTGGTCTGTTCTTGGCCCGTGTGTGTTCACATAAGATGCAGTGGTTTTGAGCACATAATCTCATAGTCTGTGATTCCATGACCTCAGCGCTTTCTTCCCAATGCTTATTTATTTCTCCCCATTCTCCTGCCCAGCATCCCCTACATAAGACATTTTTCACATCCTGAGAAGTTTTCTTTCCCATACCACTGACGCAGTCCTCTAGAATCAACAGAGGGTTGGCTCTGACTCCAGACTCCTTACTGAAGACCCCAACACAGACCTCCCCAAACAAGCCTCTCCCCTCCCCCCGCCCCTCCAAATACTGTATGATGGGCTGTTTCTCAGTGGCTCTTATTTCACTGACCAGCCTCTTGGCATTGATCTCTCTCTCACAACCAGAACTTTCCAGAAGTGGAAACCTTGGAAGATGTGAAGGCAGCTTTACTAGCTGTACCCCTTTATCCTGGAAGGCACACATCATAAGGGCTTCCCCCTCCTCATCCCACTGGAGGAGGGGGTGCCCAGGCCTCCACCTTTCCTGATAGACACCTTCTCCTTGCCTGCCGCCTTTAGACCTCCCGGTCAGTGAGATCGAAGGTGCCTACTTTTCAAACCTCAGCTAAGGATCTGTGCAGAAAGCGGGGCACACATTTCTCCAGTAGATTTTACACTCCAATTACTGTCACCTCCTATATGAAGAAAACTCTCCAAGAATAGACTACGACAGCTCCTCTGTAGGTACCAGGCAGCAACATCCACCAACCGTGTCATGTTTCCAACCAGAGACTTGAATGAAAACAAAAGCTTTGCCACGAACCAGCATCCATGGTTTCTAAATGATCACAATATCACCAAACCACAATAAAGGATAATTCTTTACCTCAATTAATTGCCAGGATGTTCACTTCATTATTTTCGGTGAAGCAGCATCAACTTGGCTTAGAGATCTTCCTCTCTGTTCTCTGTATCACGGAGATAACTTAAGTCAACGTCTCTCATAAAAGTGATTGATAGAACAATCCTGAGGTGTGCTTTATTTTCCCCTGGAGAGTTTCTTTTTTTATATGAAGGCAGAAGATATGAAAGCAGAAGTACACAAAATTTCACATTTTAACATGCTGAGTAGATAAACTCCTTGTAAAGCGCCTTCTACGTGCCACGTGCAGTGGCAACATACGCACTCACACTTGCTGTCTTCTTGCTTGCTGATAAAGCAAGCATTATCTTGCTTATCCCTCACAGTCCCCCTGCAGTCTGGGTAGCATCATCCTGATTTACGGAGGAGAAAGACCAAGGCTACACAGGGTTCTGTAATTTCCCTAAGGTCTCATGGCCAGCAGAATACCTCCAATCTAGAGCGAACTGACTTCAGCTGCCCTAACCTTACAGCGAGGCATATTTGGTGGAGAAATAAAAAGGCTTGCCGTGAATTTTAAAGCCATCTGTTTATGAATCCTATTTATCAAGCTTTGATATACTCCAAACACTGTAATAAATGCAATAACAATAAGTCACAGTCCCAATGCCTCAGCAATACTAATCTTACACAGTGGAATAAGATGATGAGGCATTTTGAGAAGCATACACAAACGCCACGTAGTATCACAATGCTGACACAACCCTGTGTTTCCACCTTTTGTAACTCAGCATCCAGCAGGGCGCAGGGAGAGACTGGCCTGCCTGCTCATCTCAGGCCACATGCAGATATAGACCAGAGCACCATTCGCAAGTGGCACCTACAATGCTGAGACAGCTATGACTTGGACTGACCGGGGGCTTCACCTTCGGGAACACACCTTCCCCACCCACAGCGTCAGAAGGAAACGCTATAGTGAAGGACTGAGCCCCTGGAGCTGCGCTCATGGTGTCATGTCTGATGCGGTCTCTCTCAGTAGGACAAATTGTAGCCAGTGATACAAAATTGTCATTTGAGGACACCTACGGCTTAGGATGTCTGACTTTGGTCAGCTAAGCAAGTTATCTAGAGAAACCAGGCCTTCCTCTGAGGAGGGAAAAAGGATTTTAGTTTTGAAGGGTGAGTACACCTGCAAATGACTAGGGAATGGCAGTGGCTGTCTCGGAGCTATGAAAACCATAGGGTGGTTTTGAGTTATGGGGGTCAAGCAGAGGCTGAGGTTATATGAAGGAGCTTAGGACTTTTCTTATGTGAATTTATTCAGTCAACAATTTTTTAAGGTGCTAATTTCTGGGGATACAACCTTCAAGAAGACTGAGTCTCTGACTTTGTGGAGATCAGGGTGAAGAGTATTAAAACCCCTGATCAGGGGCCGGCCCCGAGGCTGGGCGGTTAAGTTCGTGCGCTCAGCTGCAGCGGCCCAGGGTTTCGCCGGTTCGAATCCTGAGCGCAGACATGGCACCGCTCATCAGGCCACGCTGAGGTGGCGTCCCACATGCCACAACTGGAAGGACCCACAACTAAGAATATACAACTATGTACCGGGGGGCTTTGGGGAGGAAAAGGAAAAAATAAAATCTTTAAAACCCCTGATTAAAGCAGTTAGCACTAAGTATTTTCTAGATAAAGTGATAGGTAAAACGGAAGGTCCATCATTACACATTACAAAGCCCATTAATTCAGACCCAGATGTGGGGAGTGAAGGTGGGAGTGGGAGAGTAGAATTTCTTGGAATCTGTGGTACCTAAGTTGAGTCTTAAAGGATCAGTAGGAGTTGGCAGGTGAAGGGAATGAAGGAAGAGCATCCCAGATTAACATGGTGAGGTCAGAAGACAAGCAGAGAAGTCCGTAGTATATTCAACAAAATTTCAGTCTGGCTGAAATCTAGAGAGTTCCATAGGTGTGTAGTGGTGTCTTATCTTGTTTTTAATTTGTGTTTTCCTAGTGACTAATGAGAGTGAGCATCTTCTCCCGTGTTTATTTTCAACTTTTAGTGAAGTGTCTGTTTAAAACTTTTGCCCATTTTTGAATCGGTTGTTTCCCGTCATATTGTTGAGTTTTGAGAGTTCTTTATATGTCCTGGAAACAAGTTCTTTGTCAGACGTGTGATTTCTAAATATTTCCTCCTAGTCTGTGGCTTGTTTTTTCATTCTCTTAATAGTTTCTTTCATGGAGTAAAGTTTCTAAGGTTGATGGAGTTCAATTTATTAACTGTGTCTTTTATGGATCACGCTTTTAGTATTGTATCTAAGAACTCTGACTAACTCAAGGTTACAAAGAGTTTTGCTTATGTTTTGTTTTACAAGTTTCATAGGTTTACAGCTTACATTTAGGTCTTTGGTTTGTTATTTTTTAGGTGTGAGGTATGAGTCATGGGTTCTTTTTTTTTTGGATATGGGTGTCTAATTATTCCAAAACTGTTTACCGAAAAGATTATTTTTTTTCTTGATTGAATTGCCTTTGAAACTTTTCAAAAAAAAATTGGCCACATTTGTATGGGTCTCTTTCTGGATTCTCTATTCTGTACCACCGATCCATTTGTCCATCCTTTTGTCAGTATTACACTATCTTAATTATGTAGATTTATAGTAAGTCTTGAAATCAGGTAATGTGAGTCCAACTTTGTTCTTCTTTTAAAAATTATTTTGGTTAGTCATTTTTGCCTTTCCATGTAAATTTCAGAATTAGTTTGTGAATATCTACAAAAAAATTCCTCCTGGGGTTTTGACTGCAATTTTGGTAAATTTGCAGATCAATCAGAAGACTTGACATTTTAGTGATCTTCCAATTTCTTACAGTGTTCCAATCCATAACCATAGTGTATCTCTGCATTTATTTAAGTTTTCTTTGACTTACTTAATCAGAATGTGAGGCTTTTAGCATGCAGATTCTACACATATTTTGCTGATATATACCTAAGAATTTCATTTTTGGGTACTACTGTAAAAGGTATTGGTTTTAATTTTGAATTTCACTGTGTATTAAAACGTATCTGGGATTTGTTTTAATCAGTTATGGACACACAGACATGCAGACATAGAAATGATTGTCATGAAAGAAGTTCAGATTCCTAGAAAAAGGAAGCACGATATGCCACACAGGGCCACGTGGAGAAGCACCTGGGTGGGTCAGGACTCAGAAGGGCCAAGGGGACAGTATGGTCCAGAGCCCCTATTTTGTTCTCTACAGGAAGGAATGGGGGGAGCAGGTCAAGCAAGCTTGAACAAACTCAGGATTGGCTCGTTTGAGTAATTTTACCGGGCTCTGGACTATAGAGGTGGTCTCAAGTGTTCTGTGCTTGGCCCTGGAGTGACTTGGGTGGGAGAAATATTGGCTTGGTGTTGAGAGTTTAATTATGGAGGTGGTTGGGGGTATGGACTCAGAATTAGTTGGTTTGTCTATGAAAGGTGTGCTCATAGGAAAGTTGTGTACAATCTCTAGGAAATAGCTAGCCCTCACAGAGGCAATCTCTTTCC